AAAAAATATAGTATAGACAGGAAATCACAGCGTAGACAGAGACCTTTGTAGTGTATGTACTCAGTACATAGCCACATCTTCCAGGTATGTCTGTAATCCACTTTCCTGAGCAGTTCTTCACCGTCTATGCTGCTATTTGTCTCTGATCTTTTCCCACATCTTCCAGGTATGTCTGTAATCCACTTGCCTGAGCAGTTCTTCACCATCTACGCTGCTATTTGTCTCTGATCTTTTCTTTATACCTGTGTTTGCTTCTGAGCCTGGAGGTGGTAGGTTGTCAAATTAATAGCTGTAAGCATCACCCTCATTAGGTGATGCGTACTGATTACCCCTTAACCAGTGGCCCGGCTGGGCTTAAGGGCAAGGGGGACTGTTCCAGCCAGTAGGACCCACTGCATGGCGAGTGGGCCAGGCCTGGCCGGAGCAGCCTGTCACACCACAGGTGGGGAGACTCTCCAGCCCAGATGACGCAGACCCTGCCAGCGGTGGGTCTGCAGCCCATGCCTTGGGAGGAGGGCGATCCAGTCTACCACAGAGCAACCCCATCCATCACCATTTAACTGATTAAACAGTATTTTACATCCTTAGTAGGTGACAGGAAGGGTAATGGTTCTTTGCCTGGGGATGGGTAGGCTTTCTGAAGTTGGAAGAGATGAGGACAGAGGCAGAGTGGTAGTTCTGACTTGATGAAAAGGTTAGGTAAGAAGAGGGGTACTTAGCTTGTGAACATAAGGGTATGTGATGAGTTCTAAAGAAGTTGGATTGGCAGGGGTAAATTCAGGACAGAGTCCAAACAGTTGGTGGGGTGGGAGTGAGATGAAAGGACACAAGGGGAAATGGTAAGGTCAGCACTACTTGGAAGTCAAAATTGAAATCTGAGAGAACAGGTGTGATATGACTCAAATACTGTGCTCTCCTTCCTTGTCCTTTACTGTAAAGTGTCCCAGTTTCTCATTTTAAAAAGAAGGGATGGGAAAATGTACAACTTTTTTCTTTCCACCTACCTCTTTTATGCTACCCCCAAATACTTTCCTTGCATGCTCATCCTTGTTAGGGATTCCACTTTTTCTCTTTGAAAACAGACATTCTTTGAGTCCTGTCCTATGGGTGCTTCATTTAAAGTGCATATGTGCCTCTCATACCTTCAGTTGCCGATCTTTGTTAATAGTAACCATTCAGCCTGCGCATGCATCCCCATACATCCTCGTACCACGCACCAAGGCTATACAGGCCTTTCCTTTTCAGCCAGATATAGAACTTTTACTGCATCAGCCTCAAGGTGCCTTAAGGTGAATTTCTTCCTTGTTGCTAGTTTAGTTCAGGTTAGTGTTTTAGATTAGTTTTAGTAGTAAGGCGATTGTTTTTTTTCCTCTCTTCTTCTTCTGGGGAGGGTCATCTTCCTCAGGAGGGTATGCCCATCTCCCCAGTTTTTATAAGCCTCGCTGGATGGGACTAATATGCTTTTTTGTCCAAAACCCACTTCCTCACATGAGCAGAGTGCAGAGAAAAGGGGAGACCTTCACAATTTATAACCTATTAGTTGTAGTGCTGGTGCTAATTAGGCTAATTGAGTGGGCTGAAGTGTTCTATACCCAGCTTTTGAAGTGAATTGGGTGTTGAATGTAAGAAAAGCAGGTTTTATAATGACCCATCCAATTCAGGGCTTTGTTCAAGCCATGAGCGATAATGTCACATTTGGATAAGAAGGCCAATTCTGAGCGCTCCCTCTCTCCCTAGTTGGTTTTTGAAACTCCTTGGTAAAAGAATGGCTACTTTTAAATCCATTAATGATTGCCCAGGAACTTCTACAAGCAGTCTCTCCCAGGGCTCTCTTCCCCCTGGTCACTGACCCTGCCACCAGCCAGACTATCTCCACTCCCAGTCACTCTCAACTTCTGCAGCCAGAACTCTCTAGTCTAGCAACATCTATGGTCCTGCCAG